AAAGGAAAAGGAGAGTGGAATTAGTTCGTATGTACTCACATCTTTTAGGGTTCTACAAGGGCGAGTAGTCGTGAAGCCTTGATGATCTGCATCTAATTTGCTAGTAGTAGGGTCATCCAGATCATACGGGGTCTCCTCAACCGTCACGGTCATTCCAAGAGGCATCGGAGCGTCGGCGGCCATTGCGATCAGATCTTGCATTTCAAGTATTGTCAGCACCTATCAAAGACAAATTCTTTTACCACGAGTTTGACAGCCTAGCTCTAATGCAGACAGTATCAGCTCATAAAATCTGATTGCGAGATACATAAGAGGATCAATTTTGGAATTATCAAGATTAGAAAGAAGATAATTTTGAAGCATGAGTTCTCATAGTCCAAAATTGGGTGGCATATGTTAGCGCCAAAATTTGGTAAGCCCCGAGGTCATCATTTGCTTAGAAACCATATCAGCTTCAGAGTCCTGGAATTGACCGATGGGAATTGTCACTCACTAGCAGTCGGATTCTTGGTTTTGGTTAAGGAAATTAATCAATTAAAGGAAGTTTATTTAGAAGAGATTGAGTTTAAGGAGGATACGACATAACAATTTATCTATTAATTAAGCAGAGTTAGTTAGTTCCCTTTTGTTTTTGGAAAGTGTGTTTAGTATCCGATCAGGACTTGTGCTTTTCCTTTTATCTTTAGAAAAGTTTGAGTTGTGTCCAATAAGGGCTTGTATTTACCCATGCGTATAAATATATACACCCGGAGTCATTGTAATCTATCTCTCGATCAATACAACTTTGGCACATCGATACCCTTTTTATTTTCGTCTTTCTCAACAAGTTCCTGTTTTGAGTTAGGCTACATCGGCTTCGATCTCTGATGAGGGGTAAGGCTTATTGTGGCTGTTTGTATCGGTGAGGCTAGGGCTTCGACACCCTAATCTTGTCGATGTAAACATATATTTATCATATATCTTAGTTAATCTAAGTCGATGTCTCAATTTACCTATATCGGCTAGATCTTTTCTAGGGTTTTTTTTATCAGTTAAATTGTTTCTTAGATCTAGATTAGCTAAGGTATCCACCACCCTGAAAATCAGTAAAAGGCTTGATTGTTTAGACTTTATGCTTCTTTTTCATACTAGCAAAATGCCCATGCGTTGCACTGGGTGAAGACAAAAATAAATAGTAATGGGTGTGTGGGAGCATAATGCCACTAGGTTAATTGAGATCCTTATAGTTAAATTGAATCTTTTCGGTGCAAGTAAGACGCTAACATGACATAATTATTTGTTGTTCTAAATCCATTTACATGGATTATAAGAAAGCTATTAATACCACTTTAAAATGAAATTATGTATTATACATACTAAAGTTTGAAACCCAAAAAGTATTTATTTTTTTCATGTATTATTATGAGTCGGTTGCAATGCATGGTTATATTTTTATACTTGATATTGATAAAACACTTTTTTTTACATACTGCAAAGAGTAGCAATAGTAAAAGAAATGTTTCTCGCTAGCTATCAGATCAACCTCACTGCACTCTAATTGCATAATTGCTTTCACTCAAAAAATCAAAAGAAATCGTGATGAATGGAAAGAAAAAAAAGGTGGTGTATCACATAATAGCTCTCACTCTAAAAAAACAGAACAAAAACATACCATGAATGGAAAAAAAATTGATGAGGACGAGGGAAAAAATCTGGATGTAAATACGATTCATTTTGTTGGTGACTATATATTTTTTTAAAAAAGAAAGACGCGTGATTGTTTTCTATTTTCTAAAATTAATTTATTTTGTCGGTAAATAATTCATTTTGTTGGTGGTTACATTTTTTTTAAAAAAGAAAGACATGTGATTGTTTTTTTACTTTTCCAAAATAATGAAATTGTTCCCTTTTTTATCTAATTCCTGGTAGACATGGGCCCAAAATTTATTTAGTGTTAATAGTCTTAGGCAAGAATCCTATTTAGGTGGTATTACTCGTGCTACAGTGCTCAGTTGCTATAGTATCACGCAGAACTGTGCTGTGTTGGGCTGCTGCTTCTCTGCTACGTGGGCTGAACTGTGCTGTGCTGGGCTGCTGCTTCTCTGCTATGTGGGCTGGTTGCTGGGTTGCGTTTGCTTTTTGTTGGGCCAGCCTGCTGCCGTCTTGGCTGGGCTGCTCGCTAGGTTTCTCTTTTTTTTTTCGTTTCTCTTTTATTTGAGAAGCGTCAGATAGGGGTGGGTGGAAAAAGACCGAACAACAAAACTGAGACCGAGAAATTTAGTCATCAATTCGGTCCTAGGTAGTGAAATACCGAATTTTATTCGGTCAATTCGGTTAGTCTCCTCGGGTAACCGAATAGACCAAAAAGATCGACTTACCAAAAAATATCTAAATGCAACCTACAATCCACTATGTTTAATAGAATTAAACTCTAATTTTCACATCCCTACTTCTTCTAGGCATGCAACCTAATAAGAGTCTTTACTTATAAGTGCTTACAAATTTTTTTTTTGTGATTTTTATGTTGAAAATTTCCATTATTTCTTTGCATATATGAAAATATTGTTGAATTTCGGTCAGGACCGAGACCGAGACCAAAAAGACCGAGACCGAATTTGTCAGTCCTGACATTTTTGCACTGAAATTCGGTCTTCACTTTTCAAAGACCGAAAAGACCGAAAGACCGAAGACCGAGACCGAAATTTTCGGTTAGACCGAATGGCCGCCCCTAGCGTCTGAGATCGCCGTAATGCATCCAGATTCATGGATTAGCGGCGAAATAATCACGTGGGCCCACCCTTTAATGATGGACGAAAAAAATCAACTGGAAGCCTTACTTATTTTTTAATTAGGTATAGGTATAGATTTAGTGCCGCATCAATTGGATTTGATTGCCGATAAAGGTTTCATCGGGGTTTCAGCTGATGAGTTATCTGGACGTTGCATCGGCTAACAAGGATTACATACAAATTGGTTTTAGCCGATTGCATTAAAGGTTTCACTAATTATCTAATCTTGTGGATTTAATGACATCGGATCACAAACCGATGTATGCTTAACCTTTGGAACAAGCAATTATTCTATACGTATTGATCAATTGGTTTCTACTTAATTATATTATTGTTTTATTACATTATCATCAGCCGATTGTTTTATATCATTATTTACTCAAGTGTAGAAATCTACATTGAACATATAGCCGATTGCTCAAAACCCTATTGACATTGGTCAGTATTGGCATCGGCTAGTATAATTATATCGGTATGTCAGTTGCAGGATCAAACTGACTGTCACACCCGCATCTCATCAATATTTTGGACCTGCACTGGAGCTAAGCAGATCTTCTATGCCGTTGTGTTCATCGCCTTACATAGGTAGTATAATTTGAACCCGAAGTAAAGTAAGGACTCGATCTAATCAATCCTGAAGGATGAATCATAATATTTTTTGAAGCTCTATTTCTAATCATAATGATATGAATCGAAGAATAAACAATTCACAACTATTCGTAATTACAACTATTTTACTCATGTGCACCTCTACATCACTTTTTTTTAAGATAATAATAGACCTGTACATAATGTGGTTCTCCTTTCATTCTATACATACACCTGTACATAATCTATTCGAGTTCAGATCATCCTCCTGTTTTATTAACTAGGAAGGTAGCCCGCGCATTCGCGCGAGCATGTACCGTATGTAGGATGAATTTGAGAAACTTATAGGGACAGTATACCAGCGAAATAATATCTGCAATGTTTCAAAATTGTGATTGTTTTTCATGAGTCTCTTCATTAGCATTACAAAATGAATTTAATTGTTATTTATAAAATTACCTATTGAAGATTGGGGTTGGTAACTTATGGTACCTAAGACATGACTCTTGAAGTTTCATATGGAAAGAGAAAAAACTTAGGCCTGTTTGGATCATTTAGTCCTCAGATTAAAAAGTTTGTCCCATACTGTTTGGATCAGGGACTAAAAAAGACTAAAGGCATGTGGACTGAGGGAGAAAGAAGAAAGAGGCTGTCACTTTAGCCCCTATATAATCCAATATGCACTTTTAGTCACCTTGTTTGGATTCTTAGGAACTAAAATGGAGGGACTAATGCATTAGCCCCATTAACCAAATATGGCCTAAGTTATAAAAGACATTACATATACTACCATATATAATTAATGGTTCTACTGATTTATATAGAAAAAATATATAATAACTTTATTATTTGATGGCAGACATCGATTGGTCATAGCTATGGATAATTCCTCATAGAAAATTATGAATATGTGTACAGTATAGGGATACAAATTAGAAAAAAAATAGTAGAAGTTATGAGAAAAAAAACAAAATATATGACTCTCAATTTTTACTTAATTCGGTAGTCCATCATTTCTAACCATTGGATATTTAGATGACCTAACATATTGTGTACAGTCCAACTAACTAAATTATTCGTCTTACCTCAGTTATGGATGTTGGACATGATTTACATATATAAAATTTTAAGTATAATAAAAAATACACACTACTCTGCCAATGTAGCGAACGATGTGTGCGACAGGTTCGCCACGGCTGGCTTCAACACGAACATGATCACGTACCTGATGCAGCAGCTGCACCTGCCGCTGGTGCACGGTAGATTCCTTCGCCGGCCGTCTCTGGACCATCGCCGCCGCTGGCGTTTTTTCCCAGCTCGGCATGCTCGGCCTCGTCGGGTCCGCGCTCGTCCCTGCCCTCTGCCCCGCGCCGTGCTGCGCTGCCGCCACCGCCTCGTGACGACAATCTATTTAGAGTATGTATGTATACGTACGTACGCACGTATGAGAGGGTGGGCCTATGGGAGAAGAGGTGGGTTGTGGGATTTTTTTCTAAAGATAAATATAATAGTTGAAAATAGTAGGTCTAGCGATTTATTATTATTATAGAAATATTGGGTCCACCGGTTTATTAGAACGCCATGTGGCGGCTTAGAAGCGTTTGTAGGAGTCTCACGTGGCGGCTTGAGAGCGTTTGTAGGAAGTTTAATGGACTTTTAGTATATAATAGATAGATAGATAGATTACTGAAAGCACAGGGCTATCCCTGATTTCTTCCATTTTGCGTTTCCGCAAGTGCTCTTGGCATCACTACCACCTCCCTTGATAGTGAGCTTGACGTCCTTCAAGGTTATTCCTTGACAAGGTACATTTCTGCTACAGTCCAGTTTGATAGCCTCCTTGGAAGCACTTGTGCCCCTGATGTTCTTGAAGACCACATTGCTAACTTGCACCGCAGATGTCTGATACAAAACCACTAAATTATAAGCATGCACATTATTTACACACATGGATAACTGAATAACAGAAAAGCTATCACTGAGATTTGTACCTGTTCCTTGCAGGGTGTAGCAGAATCACAGTAGTTCTGGTCGATAATGATTGGGTTCCAAACATTTTCCATGATCATGTTCTGGAACACGATGTTCTTCGCGTAGCCCCAACCGCCCTGCCATGTCTTGATGCGAGCTCCGTTGGTTGTGCCATATAGCCTGACGGTGTCGACGGTGACATTGTTGACATGAGCTTCAGAGTTGTGATCGCCTAAGCTCCCGATGCTGATGCCGTGTCCCGGTCCACACACCATGTTCTTGACATGTAAGTTCTCAGTTCCATCCTCAATCGACATGCAGTCATCCCCGGTCTTGATTATGCAGCCTGTCACTTGTACATTTTTACTTCTTGTGATATGGATGCCGTCGGTGTTTGGGCTAGTGCCTGGTGCTGTGATTGTCAGGCTAGAGATCCTAACATCAGTGCAATCCTCAACTGACATGTGGATTTGTTGGCTGTTTAGTAGCTTCAAGTTCTCCACTTTCAGATTTGAACAGGAGTAGAATGTCAAGGCCTGTCAGATGAAAAAGAAGTCAGACTTTGTTTGAGCAAAATAGCCAAAGTTTTATGAATTGTGATGTGCTAGAAGATTAGGATTTGGGAAGAAAACTCACCGTTGGAGCTTCAGTGCATGGCTGAAAAGAAGAGAAGAATAATATCCACATTAGAGATATTTCCAAAATAAAAATGAAAAAGAGTGTAATGATTCATAACTAAATAACTTCAGAGCACTTACAAGTTTTGCATTCGTTTTGCAGGAATTTTGCCACCAAATCTTGCCGTTTTCATCGACAGTCCCACCACCAGCGACAGTAAGGCCACTCACACCATTGAACATAATCCAGTGCCTAATAGTTTCCTTGCTCCAATCTGACCTCTTTGGAGGAGCCACCAACGTACCCTCTATCTGAAAATGTTCAGGAACTTAACATTTTTGAGTAATTGAATTTCATATGAAAGTAAATGCAAGTGCACGAGTGCATATTTCTTACCATGAACGTGATGCTTGATTTGCATGGACCAGATAGTGTAATGTGCTTGGTGAGGTATCTCTTGCCCTTTGGGATGAGAACAATGGAAGGTTGCGAAGAGGAGCAAGCTGCAGCCCATGCCTTTGCCAATGCCTGCAACAACGGTATTAGTTAAGTTTTGCTATTTGTCAGTCGCCTGAAAATAAAACAAAGACATTATACGGTGTCACATTTTACCTTCGTGTCATCATGTTGTCCATCTCCGTAAGCGCCATGTTTGCGCACATCGAACACCACCTTCTTTGACTCAAGAGACCTGCCTCTGAGACTATCATCTCCACTAGTTAAATGGAATGATGCATTCATGTTGACCTTGGCATGAACACTACACAAGAAGAACGACATGACGACGACATATGCAGAGAAAATGAGCACATTGCAAGCCATCTTTCCAACTGTTAACATATGTCAACACAGTTTCGGACGATGAACAGTGCAGAAATTCTAGTGTTGTTGTGAGTTCTGGACTTTGTAGAATGTGTTGATGGATGTGGCGATTGATGGAGACCAAGGATTCGATCAGGGGGTCTATTTATTCGCGCCGAAACCGGTTGGAAATCTTTGGATGTTCTCAACTCAAGGTTGCTTGTTGTTGATCAGCTAGATAGGTTGGGTTCAGATATTTGGATCCTAGTATCACAAGATTCTGTCGGCATGGGAACTGAGATAAATGTGCCTGAGTCCCTGACTCTTTGTTGCTTCACTACCTAGTCTACTTGTATGGCTAAATTACTTCCAGAGAAACTAATCCTGCTATTGAAAGAAGTTCAGCACTAAAAGAAAAATCAAGGAGACCTGGATCACAGTTGAGTACAGACAATCATCTAAAATCCTATGCATTTCATCAGTGCTGCACTCTTGAGACCCACTCTGAATTAACTTTGACAGATTTACGAGCCACAGGTCTCCTTGTGTCATTAAAGTGTATGTATTATTGTAAGCTTAATCAATTCTAATGACAACTCATCAGTCATCAACGAGAAAGAAGGCATGTGTGTGTGAATTCCAATGTGGTATTCTCTACAGATGCAGCCTATGATGCACGGATACGCGATACTGGTACGGCGATACAGATACGTTGATACGGCGATACGGGATTTTAAAAAAAAACATCAATACGTCGATACGGCGAGTATATATAAAAATATTTTTAAAAATAAAATATAGGAAACTACAAAAGGGTAAAGCAATAAGATTATCTTAAAAAATATTTTATGTATTGTTGCCTGTTACAAAAAATATAGTAAATATAGCCTTGTATTACAAATAGAGCAAGTATATTAAAGTTATAAATATATCAGAAGTATAGCATTGGGTCTTTAATGGGCTATTACACTGCTAGGTATCGGAGAAGTATCTGATAAGTATCGTGTGAGTATCGGTATTTATTTTTTCTTTTTTTTTCGTTGTTTAATGACCGATACTCCTCTGATACTGTATCGACATAGTATCGGACGTATCGCCGTATCGGATACGTATCAGATACCGGTACGGCAAGAAAGTGAAGTATCGGTGCAACATTCGCAGCATTATAATGTTTCACATAGGTTTCTGAATCTTGTGAAGTTAAAAATTCAGGTGTAAAGCTAGCTCTTAGCTGAGAAAGGAAAAGTACGGGCTCCAAGGAAGCCTATGAAGAGGAAACCAATGCAGATTTCAGGTGATTTCTCATAGATATCTCAATGAAAGTATGGACAATTCATGGAGTAAGCAGATGAACAACCTCTGCTGTTTGTGGCTTACAAGCATGGTGAAGAGGTGCAGAAAATTCTAGAGAGCAGCCTCTGTTGTGGGCTTGTGGCTTCCAAGCACATATTTCAGTGCTTTAAAAAATTAACAGGTGCTACATGATTTTATCAGTCAAAACATTTGTGGTTTTGAAAGTATGCAATGTTGCTTAGCCCAGTTTGTACTGTCAATTAATACGCAAATTTGCCTGACAACTCTGAAAATATCCAAAAAAAAAAGGAAGAATGAGGGATGATTCTGAAACTGTTTTGGTCTCAAAATTGTATGCTTATTATGCCAACCAATTTCAGAAAGTAAAGTCTTGAACCAGCTGTAAGCAATTTATTTTTTTTTGCGCACCACCTTTTTTTTTTCTTTTGGCACTCAACAGCCGAGACGAGCTAATGTCAAACATTTTCTGTAAGATTCTTCATCTGTTTTTTTTTAATTTTCTAAAATATCGTTGAGAAAAAGAGAGCATAAAACCGTGGCTGAACTTGAAGTATTTGCTAAACTCTGAAAATAGAGGGTTCCTATTTACCTAGCATGGTGTTTGTGCATATGGGTATTTCACGTAATCGCAAACAAAATTTGCAACTAACTTGGACAATATGATATATTTTTCAGATATTAATAAATTTAATGCTAATAAAAATAATCAAAGCTTGAATTTGAATATGAATAGTTCCCGATAAAATTATTTGAAAAGTTACCTCGATCAACTGAGCTACAATTGGTATACCCATGCCACACGAATGAAGAAAAAACAATTTATAGGAAATAGTTTTATATATGCATTATTAGCTGTTCAACAGCCAAGACTAAAAACAAATTAAAATAACAAATCATAAAATTAATTAATTGAGTTCTGCATTCATATTTTCGGAAGGGACATTCAGATCCCCTTGGTTGCCCTAATAAGCAAAAGCCAAAACTAAAATTTGAATTTTCAAACTAAATTTTGAGGTTGATTTTAAAATTTTTTCAACATGATTCTTTTTCAGTATTAACTTTTAAATCACTAAGACATATATAAAATTTTACTTATAAACTAATACTCCTATTTATTTTCTAATATACCATTTTAACTTATTAGTAGAGAATATGGACAACCCAGAGGGCCTCAAATTTTGACTCGCTGGTAAGACGGCAAAGCACAGTAGCACACAATGCGAAGACCAACGGAACGAATCCAACCTCCAACGTCCCTGAGCACCCCAGCCGTCGGATGCGTCAGATCCGGCCGTCCATTTGGCTCCCCTCGTAAAACGCGCTCCCACCCGGCAACCCAACGACATCCGGGCCCACCCACCAGTCTCCTCTCCGTTTGGGAACACGGGATTCCCAGTCCCGGCCCCACCCCCCCTACTCCCATTCCCATTCCCGTCGGATCCCATTCCCACGGGGGAGATTACTCCTCGGGCTTGGGATTCCGCCTCCTCTCTCTCTCTCTCTCTCTCTCTCCTCCTCGCGACTTGTCGGCGGCGACGGCGACGGCGACCTCGGCGGCGCACGGCCTCGCTCCCTCCACCGCCGCCTCCTTCCTTCGCCGCCGCACCGCGCGTCCCCGCTCCATCTCCGGTATGCGGTGCCCTCCCCCCTACCTGCGCTCCTTCTCCTGATTCCTCCTAATTCCTCCTCTCCCCTCCCTCACACTGCTCTCTCTCACTCGGCTAGGGTTTTCTCTTCTAGATCTCCGCGGGCGGAGCTCCCGGGCGCGGAGGAGGCTGCGCCGCGCGCGCGGGGAAGGCGCACGAGGTAGGGGGTTTCTCCTTCCTCCATCTTCTCACTGTGGAGTGTGGATTTTCTGGCTTGCTTGCTTGGGCGCGCGTGCGTGCGTGCGTGCCACTGGTTGCTTCGTTGGGGGGGGGGGGGTTTGCTTGCCGTGTCCTCCTGGATGATTGGGCGCGGTCTTTCTGACTGATTTCTCCTTCGCGTGGATCCGTGATTTGTTCTGTGTCGCATGGGGGGAGTGAATCCCAAAGTCGAGCGCCACTGCTTGAAGTTTTTGAAATGCAAACAGGAAGAGCGAAGGGGTTTTTCGAAATCATGTTCCTGGTAAAAAATTGGGGGGGTTTTTGAAGTCATGTTCCCGGTAAAAATTTGGGGGTTTTGGTTCTGTGGGTAAATCGAAAAAAACAGGATAAGAGTGCTAGTACTAAATCTGAAGTGTGCGTATGAGCTCCATACACATAACTATTGTGTCCAAATAAGCTCCGTGCCTTCACCATATGATGCAACATATTATGAAGCTTTGTTGCGTTCATTTAATCTGTGTTTTTGGGGATCTATTTGAGGTACATTGATGTACTAAACTCTTCTGTAATTTGGTGATATCAAGGTTTTGTCTTCACATGACTAGATATGGCTCGGCATCTGATTATGTGCTTTCTTATGCAATTGTTGTCAACTGTTATCATCTGAAATTTGAAATTTCCAATGTTAGGGCAGTCTAGAGTTAAGTTTGAACTGCATTCTTTGCATTCCCTGTGAACTTATTCCTCACATTCACTTATTTTAGCTTTGCAGTGCTATTTTCATTCTGAAGGAAATTGCACGGTTAATCTGAATAGATTGGTCAGTGGTTGTCTGCATTCTACATATGATCCAGATGGTTTGGAGATATTCAGTGTAATCAACAATGCAGACACGGAAAAAGGGTGCTACGAAAAATGCACTTGGGGATCCTGCCAGTACTAAAACTAGTAGGCAACCCAGAAGAGCAGCTCAGGCGGCAGCTTCTGAAAAGAAAGTGAATGATCTTATTACTTCTTCTGCCAAGAAGAAGAAGTCTGGTAAAGTTCTATTTTTCAAGTGTACATGATGTGTATGTTAATGCAAAATCAATTTCTTCTAAACCAAATTATTGGTACAGGCATGCTTAATGGTTGTTTGACTTTCATTTATTCAAATAAACTGACAAAACTTACTCATATGATGTATAGGATAATTTATAGATGCTTTTCTTTAACTACTAAGATGTATTTTCATGGTTCGAAACTTGCAATAACATATTGTGAAATGATACATGCTTCTAGAATAAACAAATACATTTTGTCCTTGTTTAAGTTGTTGACTATTAATCTATTCCTACACGTAAATTGTTTGTTTAATTTACTATATTGGTGTAGTGCCCATGTGCTGGAACAGTTTTGAAATAAATTTATGTCATTTTCTAATCTTGAAATTCCAAAACAAATATTTAAATATAAACGAAACAAAATCTACCAGCCAGCTATTGACATATATACATGTAAACATGATATATTTTTCTGTAAAAAATATCCTGCAAATAATGCACACATGTCTACATGGATCCATCCACAGAAGATAAGCATAAAGCACAAGATCACTGTCACCAACTCTTTCTTTTAAGGAGTAGATTTTCAATTTGAGCTTAATTCTTCCACCTCTTATCGCGAAAAGAACCAAACAACATTCTTTATGTGCATAACCGTTTCTTATTTACTATTTAATGCTGTATATCTGGTGAAGTTATGATACTGATTAGGATGTAGCAATGGCTGTATTTGGTTCTTTGCATTTTAAAACATTTGCTTGCCATGCAGTTGGAGCCCCTTCAAAGAAAAACCGAGCTTCTAAAGGTGGAAGGAAGTTGATATCCGCATGTGATGCAGCTAATTCTGAAAATGAAGTTTCTCAGGTGGTCTCTGGTATACCACACGATCAGAAGGTAAAATATTTTGACTGAAGTGAACTTTTTTGGCTACTTTTCTTTTTGACCACTGTAGAGTAAATTTCGTCCAAAAAGAATAGAGAAAGGGGGAACAGTACATTAACTACTTAATGCCTGTTCCGGCACATGATTATTACACTTTTATTATTGAGCTACCAAATTAACATCTGAAAAATATTGTACTCTTTTGGTTTGGTTGTTTTAGATCATCTATAATGTTTAGCCTTTTTGTAACACCTGATAATCGTGCATTGGCATGTACGGTGTTGCTTCACTACAAAGTTTTCACAACAAAATTTGGAACTTATTTTTCCTTTATTATTTATATTGGTATAATTGCTATGCGTACGTAACTACTTATGCATTTATTTTTACTACTTGGGCAGCAGTCAGATGACAATGTTGATGGGAGGCCATGCAATTCCATATTTTCCCCTGCATATCACCTTCAGAAAGAATGTGGTGCGAGTAACTTCGCCAAAGGTATATATAATTGCCATATTTTGAATTCATCTTTTGATGCCGTCATTGTTAAGTTTTGGACTAGGACGCTTTAAACATCTGTGAACCATAACATCGTATAAGTTTCAGGGTATAAAGATTTTTCTAACTGCTATCAACATTCAGCAATACATCCTTGCAAAAAAAAAAAACCCAACAAAATGATCCTGCCCTGATACATGCTGCAGTCAAATTCTTGAACGAAAAACTTTTACTAGTTTTGTGAGTGGAAAATATATCATAACTTTTACACTATTGTGTTGTCTTGTTTGCCTGAGAATGAAATGGAATATTCACTCCTGCATTGTCTTAGGTGATGTCCATGAGAAATTATGACTTTTAGGGGTTATTATATAAATATTATGAGCTCCAGCATTAGCACTAGGAATTCTGTACTCTGACAGATTTCAATGCAAGTTTTGAATTTAATTTGCTCACAGGTGGATATTTCAATTTAACGAGATGGTTTATCTGTCAACAAAGGGTTCCTTTCTGATTATCAAAATTAGTTTGTTGTCATCTATTGTTGGAACCTGTGCCCTAGTAATAGTACATGTCTCATCGTGCATGCTGTTTCTATGTGACTTCATTGTGGCTGTGGTGCTCATTTTGCTCTCCATACCATGTTGCTCCAGTAGTTGATTCTTGAAGCGTTAATCATGCAGGCTTAGAACATAAAGGTGATACATTGGGTTCGGTTAGCTCAGTAGAAGAAAGGACAACACATGCTCAAGGTAGAAAAGAAGTTACCACCAGCAGATCTGAATCCACTAGCCATGCAGTTAAGACTTGTGTTGGGAGCGATCACCATACACTAAATGCACAATCAGCTTTCTGTAACACACCGCTTGAAGAGGATGAATTCAGTGAACTCGGAAACCTTTCTTCAGAAGTGTCAGCAATATATCTTGCCATGCAGCAGTCCAAGTTGGAGTGCATTGATGAACATAGTCAAGATTCAATCTCAACAGAAGGTTATGTTGATCCTGAGGACACTGAGGAATATGATGATTTTGATCCATATGCTTTTATCAAGGATTTGCCTGATTTATCACTAGTGGTCCCCAAGTTTCGCCCTGTCCTACTCCCCAAGCAAACTCGGAGTTGTCCTACAACTACCCTGGTACTTGATCTGGATGGTAATATATACTTCCTGTCTGAGCACTTGTGTTCACTACTACACTAAGGAGCCTTCTGTTCCATTTCTGTGATTAACTCCAACTACTTTCAAGCAGGAGTCTATTTATGTAATAATAGTTATTAGTGAATGGATGAAGTTAGCTACATCTGTTTACTGTTATTTTAACTTCATCATTGTCTCCTGCATCTATGAATTGGTGTTAATGGTACAAATTTGAATTCAAATAACTCTAGTACTCTACCTAAAGGCTGGAAACTGGTAAACAGGAGCCACTGATGGACTTTCAAATGCATCATGATTTTATTATTACCAATTTACCATACCTTCATTGGCATGAAATATTAATAGTCAACATACATTTGATGTTGGTGTTTGATTTTTGCCTGCTGCGTGGCAGTAATCCTTGGACATAGCAGTTGGTACCGCCCCCACAAACAAACCTTGATTTAGCTTTATCCTAGTTTTATCCTATTCTTTTTTGTTCATTTTTGTTTGATCTATGTGTGCTCTTTTATAACCAGCTAGACATATTTTCGAAATTGTCTTTTCCTTTCTCCTTTGATGTTCATTTTGTGTCACTCCAAACAATGCAGAAACACTTGTGCATTCAACTCTTGAACCATGCGAGGATGCTGACTTCGCATTTCCAGTTTATTTTAACTTCAGAGAACACACAATATATGTCCGATGCCGTCCCTATCTCAAAGAGTTCTTGGAGAGGGTTGCCAATTTGTTTGAGACAATCATTTTCACTGCAAGTCAAAGCATTTATGCAGAACAGCTTCTCAATGTTCTTGATCCTAAAAGAAAGTTGTTCCGTCATCGTGTTTACCGTGATTCCTGTGTTTATGTGGAGGGAAACTACTTAAAGGATCTAACAGTTCTTGGACGTGACTTAACTCGTATAATGATTGTTGACAACTCTCCACAGGTATGCACTTAGCTATCTCAATTTTTGTGCGACAACATCTGTTCAATACTTCAATCTATGCTAACTTTATCCTGGTTTTAGTGGTTTGTATTCACATTGAAATGCCTATTTGTTTCTTGGTGGATATAAATTGTGTTATAGTGGTGGACGACTACAAAGATAGGTGTGCATCAGTTACCAGGGGTTGTGAACTTGTGATTGAAGCTGTCAACTTTGCTAGGTGTCTCCAGTAACTTGCTAATTGTTGTGACATATAGTTTCCTTACTACTTTCAGGGTCTCTTAAAGATTATCCGAAAGTTCACTACCTCCAGCAAAAAAAAAAATGTTCTTGTTTACTTTTCAACCTCAAGAGTTAACCTTGGCTACAATTTAATATCATATATTTTGCTCACGGCATTTTCATAATGAAACTAACATTTTTTAGACAATAAATTGGTCGAAATTGGTACTATATTTTTGCAACTAGAGTTAGTTTTGTAGTAATATAAATTACAAAGCAAAATCTTGCTATTGGCTTTCACTGGTAGTTCAAACTCTAATTAAGTAATTATATTTAGCAGTAGCAGGTACCTTTTAGTTCTGAAATTATGCATTTTATTCAGTTCCATATTTGTAGATCCCCATCAACTATTATTGTTATGGTTATGGGGACATGAATAATGTACTGATGTCCTGCTTACAGGCTTTTGGATTCCAGTTAGACAATGGCATTCCTATTGAAAGCTGGTTTGATGATCCCAATGATCAGGAGCTGTTGAAACTGCTCCCATTCTTGGAAAGCCTGGTTGGCGTTGAGGATGTTCGACCATATATAGCCAGGAAGTTCAACCTCCGTGAGAAGGTAGCAACCGCATCGTCTCTTTCAATGGACCTGCAAATGTGATCCACTTTTGCTTTGGAATATGTCTCTGTGTAGGTGGTAATTTCGATAAATGCAGAAGGGCTGGTATGGTGATTCTGTAGAGTTTAGGCTGTAGTGTATCAGGATCCCCCCTGTACTGCAAATCTTGTATGTCTTTAGAACCGCCATGTACAATGTTCTCCAGATGTAAGTTCGTACTGGAAGAATTTGGGGATCCCATGTATGGCTAATCAAGGTTACTAGGTTCATGGTGGTGAACTTTCCAGCAATGCAGATAAAATTGTTCAAAAAATGTGTTCTATTGTGATTGTAAATGCCGTGGACTGCATGCTCCTAACATCTGGACGATTGGTCAGGTAGCTGAAATAGTCCGTTTTTTACTTTGACCTATCCTTAGTTTAATTTATGATTTCCTGTCATGGTTGTTTTGCCAACTTATGTATCTTCTGCCCTAACAAAATGGAAAAACGGGTGCGAAATCTGATACTACTTTCATGCCTGTCTCCAGAAATTATTACCTATCCAGTTGTGGTGACGGTCTCATTAGTCATTTCCCAACAAGATGTGTTTACTTAACGCAATGGTACTGTGGAGGAATGCTCTGGTTGTAATTGTATAAATTTCACGCAACTCTTTGAGTTGCCATCATGTGTGCCCTCTGTTATTCAGTTGTGAAGATGCTGTGAGCATCTGAGATGTCGTATTGCTTTTGTTGTTCTTTCATATGATGGGATGAGACTTACTTTGCATCGCTTGTTTGATTTGATATCCGAATGCTGCACGAGTCCTTTTTGAAGCAGACCGATTCGTGTGGTTTTTCATTTTAACAGATGTAGTCCAATTTCTCAGTTTGGTGTCAATATAAGCATTACAGCAACTCTACAATGTTTGATTTAATTACACTAGAGGAAAAGAGGAGAAAAATCTTGCAAACAGTAAATTACTGATGCTCCTCATCTGATGGTCAACATTGATGATTATATTTTGCCATGATTTAGAGTGGTACGAGTTACAAGAAATAATCTCAATTGCAAATTCCTATACACTTCTGTACATGTCATGTATTCCTCCTGTACATGTTCTTCTGAATATATACACCTGTCTCTCTAGCTCCACGATGTAAAATACTCCTACTTCTCTACATCTTCCAAGGTCCAAGGATGTTCATGTTTCAGATCAATTCCTGAAACCACATGGATGTTCATGTTTCATGTCAGTTCCTGAAACCACATGGCTGTGGACTGACACTCCCGGATTTCTTCCATTCTGCGTTCTGGCAGGTGCTCTTGGCATTACTGCTACCTCCCTTGACAGTGAGATTGACATTCTCCAAGGTTATGCCATGGCAAGGTACACTGCTGCTGCAATGCAGCATGATGGCCTCCTCTGATGCACTTGTGCCCCTGATGTTCTTGAACAGCACATTGCTCACCTCCACTGCAGATTTCTGCAACCAAAATTATATATATGAAGTTAAGCTTTGACTGCACAGATTAATTAATGCCAAGAAATTAACCGTGTTAAACGTAATTTTGTCCAAAATTCAGTTTTAACTTTGTATACCTGTTGCTTGCAGGGTGTAGAAGAGTCGCAGTAGTTTTGGTCGATGATGATGGGGTTCCAGACATTGTCCATGACCATGTTCTGGAACACGATGTTCTTCGCTGAACCCTTTCCTCCCTGCCATGTCTTGATGCGAGCTCCGTTGGCTGTGCCATACAACCTGACATTGTCGACGGTGACATTGTTGACATGAGCTTCAGAATTATGATCACCCAAGCTACCGATGCTGATGCCGTGTCCCGGTCCACACACCATGTTCTTGACATGCAGGTTCTCGGTTCCGTCCTCGATTGACATGCAGTCATCCCCGGTCTTGATCATGCAGTCTGTCACCTCAACATCTCTGCTGCGTGTGATATGGATTCCATCAGTGTTTGGGGCTGTTTCTGGTGCTGTGATCGACAGGCGAGACACCATCACATCGGTGCAATCCTCCACTGAAATCTGGATTTGCTGGCTGTTCACCACCTTCAGATACTCTACCTTCAGATTCTTGCAGGAGTAGAATGTCAGTGCCTGCGATAGGTAAAAATAAGACAGAGTTTGTGAGATAAAATGTCATCAAGATTTTGTTGCTGCATTGGAATGTTCATGGTAGTAAGCAGAGGTGTAAGGACACGTACCGTTGGAGCTTCTGTGCATGGAAGCTTTGAGTTGGTTTTGCATGAATTTTGCCACCAAATCTTGCCATTTCCATCTATGGTCCCACCACCAGTGACAGTAAGACCAGTGACACCACTGATCAGAATCCAGTGCCTTATGGTCTCCTTGCTCCAGTCTGACCTCTCTGGAGAAGCCACCAAACTACCCTTCACCTGAAAATTTCGCAGAAATGGAATTCAGATTCTTTTTCTTACAAAGAAATGTATATAAACTTATGCATTTATAATCAATTCTAACTCACCATCAATGAGATGCTTGATTTGCATGGACCAGACAGTGTTGTGTGCTTGATCAGGTATTTCTTGCCCTTGGGGATGAGCAAAACTGCAGGTTTTGCAGAGGAGCAAGCTGCAGCCCATGTATCTCCCAATGCCTATGCAAGGTGACACAAGAAAAAACAACGGTTAGATCTCAGAAACTATGATTTGCTCCTGAACCAAAAACCTTTTGACATATTCTGGTGTCATTGCATTGTACTCACTTTGGTGTCATCATGTCGTCCGTCTCCATGAGCCCCGTAGCTCTGTATGCTGAACACATTACTGCCAACATCTGCATCAGCACTATGCAAGAAGAAGAAGAGTGCAAGGAGAGATGCAGAGACAATGAGCACAGTGGAGGCCATTTCTCAGACTAAATTTGACAAGTTATGACAAGTCAGAGATGAAGTAAAGTGGATGTGCTGCTTCTTGATGTGGTGATTGATGGAGACCATTGGTTTGATCAGGGGAGCTATTTATATGCGCCGATACGTGTTGGAAATCTTTGGATGTTTTCTACTCAGGTTGCTTGTGGTTGATTAGCTAGTTTGGTGTGGATTTTTGGGGTGTAGTATCACAAGATTCTGTCAGCATGGGAACCGAAATATATGGCAGTGTTCGGATTCCCTGGATGGGTGCCGCACGGAAAACGGAGCGATTCATTAGTGCGTGATTAATTAAATATTAGCTATTTTTTTTCAAAAATGGATTAATTTAATTTTTTAAAGCAACTTTCGTATAGAAACTTTTTTAAAAAACACACCGTTTAGCAGTTTGAAAAGCGTGCGCGCGGAAAACGAGGGAGAGTGGTTGGGAAACTTGGGTGCCGAACACACCTGTGCCTGAATCCTGAGTTTCTGTTTTGCTTCAGCAAAAGGTCTACCTTTTAAGGATAATTCCTTCCAAATTAGCCATTTATGCTCTCAAATTTCACCACTAGGAGAGAAAAAAGGACATTAGGAGATAAATTTTACTTAGCAAAGATGCTCAATTGAAACAATAAAATTTCTTCAGTACTGCTGCACTTCAGAGTTCAGCTTACATGAAAACTGAACCCCTGACTGATGTACAACCTGGCCTCAAGAATAAATATTAACATAGCCTAATTGAAAGTGAAAGTTAATTACACAAAAATTCCATTGAAACACAATATGATGACCTATGCTCTTGTTTGATCATGTTTCTCTCAAAAATCAACTGTCTAGATACTTCAGATGTGAGCTCTTAGCTCAAAAAGGAAACACTTGGGGCTCAAAGAGAGCTTAGTAAGGGACAGACTTCCTATCTGGGAATTTTCGCATGGCCAAAGATTGATCATGTATATCTTATTGAAAGTTTGGGGGAATGCATTGAGTAAGCAAGTGAACAACCTTAGTTGAATAGGGGAAGGAACAAGTATATCTTTTTTGGTTTCTGGAAACCTTTTAGGACAGACTCACAGCTGACAGATAGTATGTATATTTCAGTTTATTTTGTTCTTTCAGTTCATCTATTTTGATTATAATAGTAGCTCTCACTCTATGGTTATGCTAAGTATTTCCAGAGCAAAAATCTTGAAACGCGCAAGCAATCAGACCAGGTTATTTTTATTTGGAGGAATGCCTTATTTTAATAAAAATATGTGTGTCCCAAGTTTTTGAATTTGCACCTGTTCAATTTACGAAAATTCTGAGAAGATATATTGACATGTAGATTAGCCACAGATATGCACACACAAGATCATGCCAAAAATATATGATGACACATGTATTATAAAAGAATAGGAGATTGTTTTTCTTTGACAGTTGACATTTTCTTCAAATCTTGGTTGAAAGTTAAATTATCAAATTCTTCATTGAAACTTGCCCCTACAATACATTTGGAACTTGGAAGCAACCCTTTTCCCACTCACAGGTTGAAAATTAAACTAAAATCGACTTCATTTTCAAGTTGTAAGTGAACAAAGCTAAGCATCTTTTACTAACAAACGAAATCGACTTTTTTTTCGGATTGTAAGTGAACCAAGCTATGCATTTTTTTTACTAACAATATTTTAGTAGAAAGATTGGTGGCAGAGTTATATAATAGGTGGAGTAGAAAAGGATGGCAATGTAGTAGCTAAGGAGGTTCCCCTGCCATATCCATTGCCCATTGGGTTCCTTAGATTCTGAGAATGCCAATTTGGTATTTTGCTTGTACAACAAAAGCATAAGATGTTCAGTAGGAGCAACAAAAGAAAACGAATTTAATTCCTCGTAATTTGTCCAATTCCATTATTTGGATTTAATCTTGCACCTGTTCGATTTACGAAAATTCTGAAAATATGTATGGACATGTAGATTAGTTGAAATATATGCACGAGGCAAGATCGTGCCAGAAAGATATGATTATATGAGTCTCATAAAAGGTTAGGAGTTTGTTTTTCTCTGATAGTTGACATTTGTTTTTCTCTGAAAGTTGAAATATCGAGAGACCTTTGTTGGTTCTCTTTTTCCTCACCAAACAATGAGAAAATGAAATAGAAGGGGCTGTGGATATGAATCCTCAAATGCTAGAAGAAAGGGACTTTTTTTTTTTGGTAAATCTAAATCAAGAGCATCTCGATTTAGTACTAACCAGCGACAGGACATTGATTGGAAAATTTTACTTAACTATAGTACTAGTCCATCAAATAAGTAGAGAAATACATTTCTATCACCTATGTTTCAAATAAAATTTTCTCTTAAATTACTCATGGGATTTACGAATCCGATTACACCATTATGTTCGTAACAAATAAATTTTCTTAACAAGATCTCACATGATTATATTTTTGATGAAAAATTACAAATTACTTTTATAATATATCTAAATTACTTTTAGATATCATTAAATTACTTCTTAGACATATAAAAGTAAATTCAATAAAGTTTATAAGTAATTTATATATATTATAGAACTAACTTAAAAAAAATAACTTATCACGACATTAGAAGTAAATCCATTGTGGGGGGGGGGGGGTAAAAAAATAAGTCTATCTAAAATTTAAATTTAATCAACACAAATTATGAAATTGACTAAAAATGATAATAAAATAAACAACTCATAACATTATTAATGTATAAGAAGTATCAAATTTAAAAGTAATTTATATATATATATGATAAAAGTAACTTACATATTAATAAAAGTAATTTACAACATAGATATTTTTTAATCAAAATATAATCATGTAAGATCTTATTGTAAACATTTAATTCATTGTAACGAACATAATGGTATAATTGGATTATAGATCAGATAAGTAATTTAAAAAAAAATTCTATAAGAAGAAAAAAAGATGTGGTAGACAATGCAACCGGACTTGAGAGTGAAGTCTCTGGTTAAATACAGCATACGGTCTCTGTATAGTCGCGTCTTTTTTTTTTTCATATATCCCGGATGTCCCATTGTGGATCTATCTCTATCAAATATAATACAAATAGTTACAAAAAAAATTGTTATTAGAGTATATTGACATGATCTTTTCCAATGATACTCACGGGTAATTGTATCGCCAGGCATGATAATATTCTAGAGACATCAAACTAATTTCACCTTGACTTAAAATTAACCGCTAAACAAAATTAAACTCTGAGTTTAGGACTTGATCAGATTCAGTCTCCGAATATGTTACTACTACCATAGACTAGTAGAAGTAGTAGCCTTATAATAGGTCTAGTATTCGGACTGCTCGTCAGCCCTTGTGTATAAGGTGAGTGAGCTACTGTTTCACTTCTGACAAAACCTGCACGCCGTCAGCAATGGCGCCACCGCCGCGGAAAAGGCGGCGAGTTGACGGCAGCGGCGGAAATGGTGGCAACTATCCTCTCGTCGCCACCCCCAACGACGGCGTCCTGCCAGTGGACCTGCTCAACGCCGTCCTCCTCCGCCTCCCGGCGAGGCCGGCGTGCCGCCTCCGCGCCGTGTGCCGCCCGTGGCGCGCCGTGCTGTCCGACCCGCGGTTCGCCGCCGCGCACGCCGCCAGGCACCCGGACCCGCACCTCGTCGTCGCCGCCTGCGACCGCCTCGACGCCGGCGGGATCGAGCTGGTGGACGTCTACCTCGTGGGCGCGTCCGGCGACGTCGCCAAGAGGGTGCCCGCCGGGAGGTGCGACACGGACGCGGTGTCGTCGGCGCGCGACGGCGTGGCTCTCCTCGTCGGCAACGACCGGCGGCTCCGCGTGCTCGACGCGGCGGCGTCCGCCGCCGTCTCCCTCGTTCCCGACGGCGAGCACCACCCCATCAACTGCTCGTTCACGCTCGGCCGGGCCGCGTCGTCGTCGGGAGAGCACAAGGTGCTCCGCATCGGCACGGTCGTGCACGGCGAGCCGCAAGTCTGCGCGGTGCTCACCCTCGCCGTCGCCGGCGGCCGTGGTCAGAACGCGCGGTGGAGGGAGGCGCCGAGCCCACCGCTCGTGGTCAGAACGCGGCGCGGGGACGTGGCCGTCGCCGGCGGGGTCGCCTACTTCTTGCTGCGCCGCGCGTACCTCGCGGACCGGATCGCGGCGTTCGACCTCGAGGCGGAGCAATGGCGGCCGGCCCTCGTCGGCGGCCCGCCGCTCGCCGCGTGGCGCCCGACCCGGCCGGACCGCCCCCGCGTCACGCTCGCCGAGCTGGGAGGCTCGCTGGTGGTGGCCATCGACGACCACCGAGCTGCCACCCTGGACCTGTGGTTCCTCCTCGCCGCCGGCGACGGCGAGCAGCACTGGTCGAAGCAGTACACGGTCACCATGCCGTACCACCGGCGGCCATGGCGGTGCGACGGAGAGAGGGCGGAGCCAGTGGTGGTGCTCGACGACGGGAGGATCGTCTTCTGGGTGTGGGCCGGCGGCAGCGGCGGGACACGGCACGGCGGCGGCGTGATGCGGGTGTACGATCCGATCACCGGCGGCCACACCGACGTGGCGACGGCGGCGAGGTGCGCCCACGTCGGCGTGTACACGGGGAACCTGCTGTCCCTAGTGTCGGAGTAGTAGTCAGTGAGCTCTCTGCCGATAATGAGGTGCACTACGAGCAGGTGCAGACTATAAGCCAACTATAGACATATATCGAGGAGATGAAAGAAGAGAGATGAGCAGTGGGGCTACAGATTTGTAGCCACCTGTTGCAACATGAACCATATCGAGGAGATGAAAGAAGAGAGATGAGCGGCAGAGCTACAGATTTGTAGCCACCTGCTGCAACATGAATTCCAAGACGAAATGTGTGTATGATAGGTGGGACTAGATATTAATAGTACATTATATATTTATAGGTAACTATTATATGAATTGGCTATTAAATTGACTATAGATGATTTAGAGACAGTAGTTGGCTATACTATTAAACTTCTCTAAGTACTTACGTGAACTTTCTACCATTGCCCACGTTCATGTAGATGTTAATGAATCTAGACACACATATATATGTCGATTCATTAACATATGAAATGGAGGACGTAGTACATACAATTAGAACTTCAATTTCCAACGGCTACATATGTTTACTCTCGATCAAGACCTAAAAGCACACCCTCGAACTGGCCTCTCTTTCATAGGAACCCAGTCTTGTTCGAGTCAATCTTATTGATGGTTAGAAGCAGAGTTCACACTTTGCTCTAAACTGATGTCTAGCCAGTAGATAGTAGAGAGGAAGGCTAAATCCAGGTTAATGTCCCGTCGCTCAATTCATCTTTTTCATAATAAGATTTGATTATACCATTGAGAGAAGTGATGGATTTTATAGAGATACGCCCATAATAAGTATATTGATTCCTTATATTCTTATATATCTATTTGATGTTTTGGTCATCAAACCATTGAGAGAAGTGATCGATTTTATAGAGATACGCCCATAATAAGTATATTGATTCCTTATATTCTTATATATTTATTTGATGTTTTGGTCATCAAATCGGTCGATGCTATACTACCATAGAATCATGTCTAAAAAAGTGAAAACTATTTACAAATGCTATTATATGAATGTGTTTTTTTTATTGATAAGTCAATTAATATCATGTTGCAAAATTACATTATATTTTGTTTAAAATTTGAGGACTGACTACACACGTTTGTTCTGGGGCAGGCGTACTGTCTTCACCAGATAGACTAATCGCCAATGTGCCCCACTAATCGTGCAATTTTGTGAGCGGATTAGGCAGAGCAGCAAAGCAACAAACCGAGAGAACACAAATAGCTCGCAGAAAAGTTTTCAGTAACTTGTAAAAGATCCCAGGAAGTTTATAGTAACTTGTAAAAGATTAGGAGTATCAAAAAGGCAGGCACGCATCATGCAAGATTCTGAGCCATCATACGATGGAGAAAAGTACAGCAGCTCACTCAGTCGCCAAGCAAAATAAAAACAGATTGGGGGGTAATTCAGACATAGGAGACAATAATCTTAACAAGTTCTCAGACTCCCACTACTAACAAAGCTCTTCTTGCTAACACCTGAGAAAATCTTCCATGTGAGATGAATATCTCTAGTAGAAAAAGCCGAGCACCTTGCCTCCGACGTTCTTCCGCCTCGCTTCTTCGTGGTCCATGATTCCGGCAGAGGTGGTAAGGACAATGTACCCAAACTACATAACATATCATAGTTAAAGTCAGAGGGCATTTTCACAGAAATAACTGAAGCTAAGTGATGAAGTATTTCTCAGGCGATGTAACTTAAGCTAAGTGATGTCTCTTGACAAGTTGGTGGTTTCGATTTTGTGAACTAACCTGACGGGAGGGAAGCAGCCTAGCAGTCCAGGACTCGATTTCCTTGACACCAACATCAAAGCGTGGGCTGATGACACCACACTTGTTAAGGCGTCCATTCAGCTCAACCACGATCTTGCCAGACCGGTGGTCATCAACAAACTCAAACTCACCAATGTAACCTGCAGTCAGAAATGTAACAGTATGGGTTGTGGCATGAGTCCTGACATCATTGTGTATAAACAATCAATCACAGCTTCATGTCTACAGATCAGTAACAGTACACGCTGAGAGAAGACATACCATGCTTCTGCATGACGATGAGGAACTTGATGATCACCTTTGACGAGGGCCGGATAAGAACTTGGCGCTTACCACGCTTCTCAGCATTGTACATGGTTTTCAGAGCGTCATTGAGGACACTGACTCTCACCATCTTGTCTGCAAAATATGAGAAGAAATTTGTATTACTTAAATATTTTGTTAACAACAAACCTAAAGACAGTGCAACTACCAAATGTTTTTCCATTGTATTTTCCACAGGTAGAAAATGGTCTAAAAATAGATGATCACTAAGCTCAATATGACAGATATAATTATAGACAAAACACCTTAACTACAAATAACAATCACAAATGCATGTCTGTTTTGTGATGAGTGTATAACATATACATGCAACACACAAATAATCAAGGATCACATTTGAGGAATGGCCTGAAAGAAGTTGCCTAATGGTAATCATAAGCATTTTACATCATAACTGTTATCAAATCAAGTAATTGCAACTACTATCATGGGCTTCTTCAGAAAACAGCGATCTGATCAAGCTGCAGGTTCTTGAGCATTAAGAATCCAACAAAGAAAAGAACATATCTAAGCAAAAACCAGACCAAGCTGCCAATCTGACGATGAAAAACGAAATGGCTGCCTTACTGGTTTCTAAACAATATGAGTAACAAAAAACCTTCACTAAAACTACAACTACTCCATCTAACATGGTAGTACCTACCAAATTTTTTGTTAAAAAAAGTTCTCTTCGTTCTACTGCACATCGACCCAACAAAAAAAACTCAGGTTCTAGCTGCGAGACATTTCAAACTGAAAGGACTCGACGTTGTATACCTAGATTCAAAAATAAATTAACAAATCTGCCTCACTAGCCTAACACAGCAACAATTCATGCGGAATAAAAAGGATATGACCAAGCACTTCCCGAATTCTAGTTCCATCCAAATACCACAGAGCGCACGCACTCTCACTCTCATCGTCTACCCCAGTTGGTAGGAATCACAAGGGTTCAACCCAGCAGCAAATCAGACCCACACCAAGAACCAAGATCACGCGAAAGGGACGTCGTCCTCGAGCGCGATCGATCACAGGGGGTAAAGTAAAGCCACGCACACGAGGAAGAGAGGGGAGAGAGGGTAGGGTAAGGGAGATCCTCCTCACCTGGCGGCGGCCGGAGACGGAGAGCGCGCGGTGGAGTGCGGCGGCGGCGGCGAAGGCGGCTTCTCTGCTCGGGCGGCGGCGGCTGAGGGTTTTGCGACGAGTGCGTGGTGCGCCCCTCTTATAGCGCGATCAGGTCTATCTGGACCGTCCGATCGGGCTCTCGCGTCATCTGGGCCTTACGACTTTACGAGGAGTAGTTTCTTAGTGGGCCGGGCTGGAATCTTTCATGGGCCATTTTTTTCGAGAAAAGAAATGAACACGCACACAAAAAACAACAAAAAAAAAAAACGATCCCCCGCCGCCGCGGCGAGTCCCCACGGCGGCGGCGGCGGCGTCATCTCCGGCGGGAACGGCGTTAGGCTGGGCATTCAAGGGCAGGGCGACGAGCGGCCGGTGATGGTGGGCACTGCATCCAGCGCGATGGAAGCAGCGGCCGCCCGCGTCGAGTCCACGGCGGCAGCGGTGACCGAGGAGACGGCGGCGGCGATGGCGATGAGGGTTGCCCCTAGCTTCTTCCATGGCGCGGACAGCTCGCTGTGCAGTTTGTTGCTCCATCCCCCGACGAGCGGCAACTTCCATTGACTGGGAATCAGGTTGCATAGTAGCAGCAGCGACTGCCTCCTCCTGGATTTGACCGAACCGGCGGTTGAAGAAGAAGAAGGTGGTGGAGCTCCATGGTGGTAAAACCATTGCATATGCGTTGTCCTCCTCGTTCTTCCATTTCTCTTAATTTCTCCTCCATTATCACCAACAGAGCTAGACAAGCCGGTTCAGCTTCCAATTTTTGATATATTATATTTTTTTGTGTGGAATAAACCTAGGAAAAATAGGAGGATGAGGAGTCAAGATTGCAGCGGCAATATCACTAGGTGGTGCACTTGTTTTTGCCCCTTTTGTTTATTACTATCATCTTGTCTTCTTTCCAGGAACAAATCTTTTACTATACATTCTAATGCATTGATCATTCATACTCTAAGAGTGAAGGGGGAAAAATCAACTCTAATTTCCTTTCTCAGGTTTCCGAACAGTTGATGCTTAATCTGGTGTTTGTTATGTTCATTTTTTCATAATTTGCTTATTATGCCTTGTTAGGTTCATTCTTTGAATAATTGAACTTAATTTGTTTGGAGAAGGGGCGGCATGGTACCAATGACCAACAAAGAGGTAACTTTCCAGATTGCTATGTAGATGGTGATTTTACTGTCCTGTGTATGATCTGCCCCCATAATCATCATGATACAGTAAAGTTTTATATACAAGTCACCATGGTACAAAATTAAAGTGTTACAAAGTGCTCCCTCCGTTCTTTTTTGTTTGACGTCCAACGTCAAACATTGAGGGATGTAGGTAGTATTCATTATGAAAATTTTGAAAGCAGCAGTGATTGCTAGTATGATTTCCTGGACATGCCTGTGGCTGTGTTGCTAAGAACATAGGGAAGCACTTTATTCTGAAAGTGGAGAACCTGAAGGTGGTGAACAGCCAGCAAATCCAGATTTCAGTGGAGGATTGCACCGACGTGAAGATGTCTCGCCTGTCGATCACAGCACCAGAAACTGCCCCAAACACCGATGGCATCCACATCACACGCAGCAGAGATGTTCAGGTGACAGACTGCACGATCAAGACCGGGGATGACTGCATGTCGATCGAGGACGGAACCAAGAACCTGCATGTCAAGAACATGGTGTGTGGACCGGGACACGGCATCAGCATCGGCAGCTTGGGGGATCATAATTCTGAAGCTCATGTCAACAATGTCACCGTGGACAATGTCAGGCTGTATGGCACAACGAATGGAGCTCGCATCAAGACATGGCAGGGAGGAAAGGGTTCAGCGAAGAACATCGTGTTCCAAAACATGGTCATGGACAATGTCTGGAACCCCATCATCATCGACCAAAACTACTGTGACTCTTCTACACCCTGCAAGCAACAGGTATACAAAGTTAAACTTAATTTTTGACATAAAATCATGATGATCAAGTTGAATTTAATTTCTTTACCTATTATTGAATTCGTCTGCACGGTTTAGCTTAACTAGAGATAATTTTGATTGCAGAAATCTGCAGTGGAGGTGAGCAATTTGCTGTTCAAGAACATCAGGGGCACAAGTGCATCAGAGGAGGCCATCGTGCTGCATTGCAGCAACAGTGTGCCTTGCCATGGCATAACCTTGGAGAATGTCAATCTCACTGTCAAGGGAGGTAGCAGTAATGCCAAGAGCACCTGCCAGAATGCAGAATGGAAGAAATCTGGTGTGTCAGTCCATTGCCCTGTGGTTTCAAAAATTGATCTGGAGCTGGTTGGAACATCAGATTAAGTGGAGGATGTAGAGTGTCAGATGATCTTTAGAGAAGATTATATGTAGAGTAGGAGGATAAATACGTAGCGGAAACTACAACTTTGGTGTAAACTTGAAATCTTAGGAGGGATACATGATGTGTACAGATAGATACTAGATAGAGAGGCCCTAAATTGACAGAGTGTGCGAAGCAACTCTCTGGGTTCTTGAGGGATACATGATGTGTACAGGTATATACTAGATAGAGAGGCCCTAAAAAATTAACCGTGTGTGAAGCAACACTCGGAGTTCTTGTACTGAGTTCTTGTTCTCGAAGCCTCACATAAGTGATCAAAGCCCATTGCGAGCTATTTTTTTAATTGGATATTTGTTTGGATGGCTTGAATCTTGTGAGAACATAATGATGTAGAACGTTGTAATTAGTTGTTGGCTGCAAGATTGTCTAGGCAATATGTACTCTGTAAGATATATTATCACTTTCTGATATATTTAGTATCATTGTTTGGTCATCTTTTGGTGAATTGAGTGGAATAATTTATCTGATTTTGAATGTTAGTTGTATTTCAGTATGCGGTTGTTATTAAACTGGGAGATGATTTTCGGGTTTGCTAAAAACATGAATTAAACATTCCCTACTATGTAAAAGTTCAAGAACAAATGTAGTGGAACAACTTCTACACACTAGAGAATGTGCCGTGTAGGCATGCGGTTCCCTACTATAAAAAATCATAGGGAACAATTTCCCCCCTACGTTTTCTCGTGCAAAATCATAGGGATATTTTTCTTTGCCAACGTTTGTTTCCCTACAAAACATGGTAGGGAAAGCCTTCCCTACATTTTTTTTGTCTTTCCCTAGTAAAACAAAGCATAGGTAAACTAGTGATTTCTGGTACTACATCTGTCCCATAAAAATTGAATTTCTAGCTTTGAACTTTTGTCCATAAAAATTGTATTTCTACTAATGTGGGACCCAGTAAATTGATTACATTTCCTTGTAATCTTCTTTCCTTCCATCTCCTCTAACCCATTGTTTTGACATTCCTTTTAATCAAGTTTATATATGGAATGTGTACATGTACTGTGTTCATTAAATAGGTTATTGTAGTCATTTGTCTATCCTTCTAATATGTCCTTAATTCCCTAGAAATTCAATTTTTATGGGACGGAGGTAGTAGTGCATTATTGTATTATAGAACCCCCTAAGAACACAACGTATATTTCTTTTTGGAATAATCAAGCGGGGCCATTAATAAAATGGAACCAAGCATTAGTTCTCGAATACACATGAAAATTATAAGGAATATCAAAATGGAGGAAATAGGAATGCAGTATCCAATACAAAAGCTTGATGCAGTGGCTGATGGACGCATGTAAGCAGAGAGACTAGCCACCGAAGGGCCATGCAAGCTTGGTTCCCTTGGACTTTGCCAGCAGACGAATTTGCAAGGCCAACCAGAGGATGTAAAGTGATGAGAGGACTATAATGGGGCTGGGACAGGATGGTCCGACCGAGCAAAACGACGCATGGGGGATGATTCAACATGCTGGAAGATGAAGACAATGGTAATTTATTTGATGGGGATGGACTATGGAGAGGAGATGGTGTGAAGGACGAGATGTAGAGAACGCAAATGGGACCCCCCACGAACAGGGATTGCACCTCAAAGAGTACACTGCTAGCAATATTGTACTATGAAAGTTTTTAATTTTTGAGATGAAAGTTTTCAAATTTGAGTTGAATGTTTTTGAATCTGAGATGAAAGTTTTTAAATCTAAGTTGAAATTTTTCAAATCTTGACTTGAATTTTTTTAAATCTGACTTGAAAGTTTTCAAATCAAGATTTTTGAAACTTTCAAAATCTGAGTTGAATTTTTTTAAAATCTAAGTGGATAGTATTTAAATCTTGACTTGAAATTTTTAAATCTGAGTTCAAATCCGTATTTGAAAGTTTGTTTCAGTCAACTAAAAAAAGGAAGAAACAGAAACGTGATGAATTTTTATCTAGAAAAAATAAAGAAAAAAAGTTAGCGCTAAGCGCTGTTAGTTAGCACTAAGCGCTCTTAGCGCCAAAAAAACGCGCGCCGTGTCTCCTCCAAGCGCTAACTTTGGTGATTTTCAGTCATAAAACTATCAAATAGATCCACCGAGAAGTTCTCCGATGCTTTGCAACTAGGAGGAACAAAAGTTGGAGCTGACAAGTTGTAGTAGTGTTTGCAGTTTTGGTTCAAAATTTCCGAGCTCCACCCCTCGGCATGAAAATATTTCATTTGAAAGTTTCATCAATTTTTATGATTTTATCAAAATTTATTCGAACTCGATCAAAATTTCAAAATTATTCATTCTGAAATATTTTAATCCCCCCAGTAGATTTGTACTCATCGAAACTGTAAACCCTAACTGGACCTTCGGCGCAAAGCAAATAGTGGGAGAGAGAGAGAAGGGGGGGGTGAGGATTGGAGGACAAATTGAGGATGATAGAAGAATGAACCAAAAGTAAATTATATTATAGGGCTTAGTTTGGAACATGTTAAGTTGTTGAGATGTGTTGTTTAATGCATCGACATGTGTCAGAAGTCTGTCTACCAATATTATTGAAAAACTATAGATTCTATATGATAGGATATAATCCAGAACATTCTTCCATTCACCTAATAATGTTACTCATCTTTTTGGTAGTTGGTTTTTTTAAATGGTGTTCAACCTAGGCTAAAATATTAAATCTTTGTTGGTATAGTGGCATTGTGTTGGGCGGTATGGTTAAACAGAAAATGGTGCAGTCTTTAATGGCTCGAAAACGAACTCATTTTTATAGGTGATTTTCAAGGGGGACATCTTGGGCGCAACATTGGTCGCTGCTGCTTAAAGAGAATCATGGCAATAGGCTGAAAGAATGCTGCAAGCCATTGGAATCTAGAGATTGGAGTTCTTTTCTAAGTTTGGTTGGAATGTGAGAAAGAGAATAGATGTGTAGTTTCTTTTCTCCTTGAGTTTGTTGTTTAAATGATTTTATCTAGATGGTTGTGTACCCTCTTGTAAAGGGGAGTGGGTCTATGTGCTCATATTTAGACTTTTGGCCGTGTACATCCTTGATTCCTTGTTGGTGTAGAGACCAGGTTTTAATCCATTATGTAAAAATTCAGAACATTCTTTCATGGTTTCAGAGCAATTCTTGTATTATCTCAGTTACGACCTACAGATGGGGTTGTCAATTGTTTGATGCCCTAATATAATGACATGTCATTGAGATACCGATGGCATATCTCAAACTTTGAAAAATTATAATGGTATGGTTCCAAATTACCCTATAAAATAAGACCAACTAAGACAAGAATTCCTGTATGAAATTAGGAGGTACTTCTTTTTGCAAGGAAATTAGTAGGCTAGATGAAAGGATTTACCAACCAATTAAGGATGATCAAAACATCCCCAATTAAGCTTGAGAATGGTAGTTCCAGAGCTGTCAGACATTCCATACACAGTATGCATGGTCCTCTGAACGTCGTTGCATACTATTTCCAGAAATCCATTAAAAAAATTTCTGTTCTTCCCCATTCTTGGAAGCAGGTTGTCCATCTGATTACTCCATGAATTCTCCATACTTTCATTAAGATATCTGTGAGAAATCTCCTGAAATCTGCATTGTTTTCTCTTCCATAGGCTACCTTGGAGCCCCATACGTTTCCATTCTCAGCTAAGAGCTAAACATCTTATACCTGAATTTTATGCTTCTAGATTCATCAGAGACGAGTGATCGGAACAGATCATGCTGCTACATCTAGATTATACCACGTTGACATTCCCATACACATGCCATTTTTTCCTGATAACATGTCATTAGCAAAGCCATTAGGCACATAATGACTTGTGAAACTGCAAATGGAAGCCTGTGGATCGTACATCTGTCAGGGTTCAGTTTTCATGTAAGCTTAATTAGTGTTAGTGGTTCTCAAGAGTGCAGCACTAACGAAATGTGTAGGATTATATTTGAGCTGATTATCTGTACCCATGAGTGCTCCAAGTGTCCTTGATTTTGCTTTCTTAGTGCTGAACTGTCCATAGGAGGATTAGCTAAGTTGGAAGCTATTACTGATTAGCCATACAAGTAGACCACATAGTGAAGCAACAAGAGTGAGGATTCAGGCACATTTGTCTCAGTTCCCAACTTCCCATGCTGACAGAATCTAGTGGTACTAGGCTCCAAATATCTGAACCAACCTAGCTGATCAACAACAAGCAACCTGAGTTGAGAAGATCCAAAGATTTCTAACCGCTTTCGGCGCGTATAAATAGACCCCCTGATTGAATCCTTGGTCTCCATCGATCGCCACATTCAGCAACACATCTCACAAGACCGAAACTGCAAACTTTGCAAGCATCTCTGCATAGTGGTTTCGTCTGAATTGTAGTACACATTTTACACCTGGAAAGATGGCTTGCAATGTGCTCCTTTTCTCTGCATTTGTCGTTGTCATGTCCTTCTTCTTGTGTAGTGTTCATGCCAAGGTCAACATGAATGCATCCTCTTTGACTAATGGAGATGATAGTCTGAGAGGAAAGTCGTCTCTCGAGTCGAAGAAGGCTGTGTTCGATGTGCGCAAACATGGCTCTTACGGAGATGGACAACATGATGATACAAAGGTACAATGCGACACCGTATAATGTCTTTGTTTTATTAACAGGCGACTGACGAATAGCAAAACTGAACTACTACCATTGTTGCAGGCATTGTCAAAGGCATGGGCTGCGGCTTGCTCCTCTTTGCAACCTTCTATTGTTCTTGTTCCAAAGGGCAAGAGATACCTCACCAAGCACATTACACTATCTGGCCCATGCAAATCCAGCATCACGTTCATGGTGAGAAAGATGCACCCGTGCACTTACATTTACTTTCATGTGAAATTCAATTACTCGAAAATCTTATGTTCCTGAAAATTTTCAGATAGAGGGTACTTTGGTGGCTCCTCCAAAGAGGTCAGATTGGAGCAAGGAAACTATTAGGCACTGGATTATGTTCAATGGTGTAATTGGTCTTACTGTCGCTGGCGGTGGGACGGTCGATGGAAATGGCAAGATTTGGTGGCAAAATTCTTGCAAAACGAATGCGAAACTTGTAAGTGCTCTGAATTTATGTAGCTTTACAGTCTTCCATTTTATTTTTGGAACTATCTGATGTGAAACTTTTTTTCTTTTGTTTTCTTTCAGGCATGCACTGAATCTCCAACGGTGAGTTTGATTTCTAATCTTCTAGCACATCCCAATGCAGGAACCTTGGGTATTTTGTTCTGACAAAATCTGAATTAATTTTATCTGACAGGCCTTGACATTCTACTCCTGTTCAAATCTGAAAGTGGAGAACTTGAAGCTACTAAACAGCCAACAAATCCACATGTCAGTGGAGGATTGCACAAATGTTAGGATCTCTGGCCTGACAATCACAGCACCAGGCACTAGCCCAAACACCGATGGCATCCATATCACCAGAAGTAAAAATGTACAAGTGACAGGCTGCACAATCAAGACCGGGGACGATTGCATGTCGATCGAGGATGGAACTGAGAACCTCCATGTCAAGAACATGGTGTGCGGACCAGGACACGGCATCAGCATCGGGAGCCTAGGCGATCACAACTCTGAAGCTCATGTCAACAATGTCACCATCGGCACTGTCAGGCTATATGGCACAACCAACGGAGCTCGCATCAAGACATGGCAGGGTGGTCGGGGGTACGCGAAGTACATTGTTTTCCAGAACATGATCATGGAAAATGTTTGGAACCCCGTCATTATCGATCAAAACTACTGTGACTCTGCAACACCATGCAAGAAACAGGTACAGTTCTTAGTGATAGCTTTTGTGTTATTCAGTTGTCCATTTGTGTGAATAATATGGAAGCTTATAATTTAGTGTTTTTGTCTCAGACATCTGCAGTTCAGATTAGCAATGTGGTCTTCAAGAACATCAGGGGCACAAGTGCTTCCAAGGAGGCTATCAAGCTGGACTGCAGCAGAAATGTACCTTGCCAAGGCATAACCTTGAATGATGTCAAGCTCACTGTCAAGGGAGGTGGTGGTGATGCGAAGAGCACTTGCCGAAACGCAAAATGGAAGAAATCAGGGACAGTTGTTCCACAGCCTTGTGCTTCCACAACAACTGTATGACCAGCCAATCCAGCCAACACGCTAATTCTACTAGCACAAGGAAAAAAATAAATTAGAGTGGGCTTTGATACAATATCACTTCAGATACCTTACTTCAAAATGGCATTTGCATATTTGTATATTTAGCTCATTTTTTCCCCATTAGGTGGTTTTAAGCCCACTATTATTTCTCTACCACTCTTTAAATTCCATAGCTATCTATTACGCACACAGGAAATGAACCAAACTACCCCATCCCCAGTTCAATTAAAACGGCTAGATCCAACCACACACCTAAACTCGTGTAGCGTAGCCACTGCTGTATTGTGAAAGCTCGAACTGCCGCGGTCTTTTTTTTGTTACCACAAAGGATGACTTCCTTTGACGTGCCAATTATTACTAATCATAAACAAATGACTTTTGTACGAATTCAAATATCAACGCTCTCCTTAGAATATGGTATTTGTCAGGTTGCTTTGCAACAACTACCTGCTTCTTTACAGAACAATTTCACTCATGTGTTCGTCTAGGAGGCATTAGCATGATGCAATAATTTTACACAAGCATACGTGTGAGGCAAGAGGACATAAGAGACTGAGTTGGAAACATGATCTAAGCGTTCTAAAATAGGGGAAATTATTTTCTATATATCTATTCCTGCACCCATTGCATATACAGAACTTGACTGTTCATCACTACAACCTGGATATATTGATCTTCCCATTACTTGTTGCATGACACACAGAAATGGTGCTTTAATTTGCCACCAACATGCATTTTCTCCCTCGTTATGCTTATCTGGGAACTGATGATAAGATGCATGCCTGCAGTCATGCATGTGGCATACCATCTCCCCAACAAAGGCTATATATTCAGATCCTTGTTGGATAATGCCAGTTAAAAATATCGGTTTGCAAAAGCTAGTTGTGCCAAAAGATTTGCTTTTTGAAATATGGTTGATCAGTTTACCTATTTGGTGAATACATAGGCTATAAATATTGCATGGGATTGTGGAGAAAACCAATAATATACAAAATATTATTATTCCGATACAATACAAGATTGTTAAACAATTAAATTTGAATATGTTGGTTGACTATTTCTAACAGGTAGGAGATGGAGTTAGAACTACAAAATGGGTGTAATGTATATTGTATTTTGTTGCAACAGTTGTACCTTATATATTTTTGTCAATGTGGCATGAGAAACAATAAAAACGGTAAGAATTAGTCACATATATCTAATTAAGGACCTAACTTATGCATGGTTGTTAGTTGAATCTTGCATATAGATCCAAATCACTTCATATAGATCAACCATCCAAACAAACATACCCATTCATAACAGAGTTTAAAGGCCTTTAGCTCCATTTTTTAAAAGTTTCACTGTTACGCGATTACTCATTTGTTTATTTTAGCTACAACGGGATTATTTTATTTGGCTCCAACGGGATTATTTTATTCGGCTCCAACAATTGTTCTATGGTAATTATAGCTACCTCAAAGAGCTATGGCTCATGATAATGATAGAACGTGCGTTCCAAGTATTAAATATTCCATTTTTCTATTTGGTAAAATCTAAATCACTATATCAGGATATAGATAGAGTGCCGCTGCTAATTTATTCTTTTGTTTATTGACATTTGCTAAATAAAGGGCCTTAATTTCTGTTTTGCACCTAGGCCTGAAATTCTTGTGGTACTGCGACACATCATCCAATCCGAGGTTAGTATTCACAATTAATATTAGAAATCCACTATAATATCATCCAAAAAACTAGATTGTAAACTTAAAGGTGAACATGGAACTGATATGTTTCTGAATAGGTGGGAATGAAGCCATTAGAAATAAAATAAGGTATAATGTATAATGCATAATGTGTTGTGTTGTAGCGATTATAACTTAGTATATATTTTGTCAATATAGCAACAAGCACAATAAGAAACAATAAAATTGTGTTGTTTTTCTTTTTCTTTTCAAATATTTTTTATTTATTTTGAGGACTATCCACCTGTTGAATCAGTCACTGAAAATAACATTAGTCCTTTTAATCACTCATCATTAATCAGCCAAAAATCGCTCTAGGATATAGGTATTGGATACACACAGTGGAGTAGCTTGTTGTCCTACATGGCGAAATAGAGCAAATTAAATTGAAAATATAATGTTGATTTGTTTTTTCTTAGAAATATATGTGATATATTTTTTTAAACAGAAATATACCGTCGGTCTCGCACAAACAATATGTGAAAATAACGTGACGTGACGACACGGGCAGACTCACATGGCGACGAAACTGCGAGACCGTGTGGCAGGCCGATTCAAATTGCTTAATTACCCTCTCTAATCAAGGTAATTACTCACTAATTATTATTAATTAATCGCTAATTGGTGATTAGTCACTAATTAAGCGAGAGCTCACCAGAGAAGCCGTTCGCTCTCGCTCATTCCTCGTCGGTCTCGCTGTTTTCTCGCGCGAGACCGCGCTCTGTTTCAGCGATATCGCCCGGTCTCACGCCTTCCTCGTGCATGCTTCCCGTATCGTCACGCCCGCGCCATTCTCGTGTAACGGTTGTGCAAGACCGATAATATATTTCTGCCAAAAAATATCCCGAATATTTTAAAAAACCAAATCAACAGTATATTTTTAAATTTATTTCAAATACAGCTGCCCGCGAAAACACCATTACCATTAGCTTGCTAGTGCCATCAAGCCACTGAAGGGGTGGCCCTCCCACAGTTAAATCACTGAAGCTAGCATGAGGCAGCAGTATGCTGACCTGCCAATTGAACCGACATGCAAAATTCAACTGGTACAAGAGATAATACAATTTATTTGCAAATCCTAAATAGTCATGACATTGCACGTTTTAAATTAAGTTCCATTTTCTCCTGTTTGGGGGTTTCAATAAGCCCATTTTGATTTCTTTACCACTATCTTTTCCACAGCCAGTGCCCTCCAAGTGAACCAAATTAAACTACCTACTTCTCCCTTGTTAGAGTAGACTGGCTGGATCCAAGGAAGATGACCGAGACCGCCTCCGACCTCATGCAGCAGCTGCAGTATCGCTGAGCTCGAGTCACCACCACTGCCTTCTTCAACTAGCATGACTTTCTTTTAGTTACCACTGTGATATGAGTTGCATATGTGCCATTTTTCAATTTCTCAAGGCGCTATATCGTTACTATATAAAGTACTTCTTTTGTTTCATATTATAAGATTTTTTAGGATTGCCCATATTTATATATATGCTAATAAATTCAGACATATATATGTGCCTAATTCATTAACATCTATATAAATATGGGCAATACTAAAAAGTCTTATAACCTGAAACAGAGATAGCATAAATATTAGTTCAAATATCAACACCATTACTAGAAATGACATTTCTCAGGTTTATTTTAAGAATATGGTACCTCCTGGTACCTTCTAATTTATAACCATTACTTGCTTCATAAGGAATAGTTTCACTCGCATGTGCATCAAGGAGCCACATTTTGCATGATGCAATATTTTTAGATATACGTACATATGTATTAGAGAGAAGTGCGTAAATGACCAAGATGGAAACAGGACGATGAAAATGTTCTATAATAGTTGTTGTATATCTATTCTTGCACCCACAAGATATCATTTCTTCCTATATAATTAGTACCCACTAAAAGTTTTTTTTTTTCTGTAGAGCTCAAATTCTCTGAGGCCACACCATCAAGATCATCTTGACCTTTGGATCATCATGCATCTATGCAAATCAACCATTAGATCAAGTTCTTCTCGTTCATATATCAGGCCTAAAACAACTGAGCAAGTCATGGCCGGCCCAGCCCAACTCACATCGCGCACACTCAGCTAGGCTCTTCCCCATCATCTCATCGTCACCTCATCTTCTTCGCGTTTCCCAAGCACAAATTTTTTTGCCTGTATTCCTTTGTCCTGGCACAATAAAAAGAAACAACCGTAATCTATACTTTCTATGTAGTTAGTACCGACTTACAATTATTAAGAGCTAAAGCACAACATGCAAGTATACCGCCTCATCACCTACTAGTAATTAGCATCTTAAATTTCATACAAGCATGACACATCATCTTCTCCCACATAACATTTTTGCATTCTCATTTGTACAATATTCCATCCATCAATTCCGCAGCAAAGCGCTTGATATCACCTAGTTTCTACTATCGGTCAGCTCAGCAACTGCTGATGGCATCCACCAATGCCTTTTGTCTTCCTCTTAATTACCCCATGCACATATAGATATCCCTTTATCACTAACCCCTAAGAGCATCTCCAATAGATGACTAAAATTAAACTCCCAAAAATCCTGTATTGGGGACAGCCAAAAACATATTTAGCCTAAAATACACCCTCTTCTCCAATAGATGACTAAAATTTGGTTCCCAAAAATTTAAAATTTTTCCACATCATCATTAGTGGGCCCTTCCCAACTAATTTTCTACCTGCTCGTTAAAATCACAGGCGAGAGCGGAGGGGGAGATCGCGTCGCGCGTGAGAGGCGAGGAGGAGATCGCGGCGTGCGGATGCGGAGGGGAATGGGCATGGTCGACGCGACGCACGCGGACGGAAGGAGATGGCTGCTCATCCTAGTCGCGCGCGAGATCGCAACTGATACCGTTGGCGAGGTTATATATCAGACGCAGCGATATACGAAATTGATCGAAGGACACAGTGCTATAGACGCACATAGAGCTCTTCCTCTGTCAGCGCCGGCGGCGTTAGCACTTCACTCAATCAGAGCTCTTCCTCTGTCAGGGCCGGCGACGTTAGCACTTCACTTAATCAGGCAACTGCAGCAAGCAGCAACGATTGGTGACAGGCACAAGCTCTTGTGCAGTGCGTGAGTAGCAAAATTTTGCTAGCAACCATGTTTTTTACTTTGTTCTATTTCCTTTTTTTATGTTTCTGATCTGACAATGTCTTGATGGAAAAAAAAACTTAATTTGATATGATGAATAAATATTTGGAAAAACGGAAGGCCAATCACATTTTTTTTAATTTGATCTGACAACGTCGCAAGGGGAAAAACTTAATTTATTGTGATGAATAATGGTTTGGTAGTTGATTTGATCCAAGATGAGTCGACCTCGCTCCTCGTTTCAACAGCTCGTGGATGAATCATCGTCTGACGATGACGATGATTTTTTTTTTGCCACGGCACAAATCGTCCATAGCTATTGGCACTCTGTCAATGCACCAAGACATGGTGGGTCAGTCATGGGACATGAAGTGATTGATCGCAACAGAGAAGCACGGCACTTGAGATTATACCAAGACTACTTTTCCGATAATCCTACCTATGGCCCAGTTTTATTCAGGCGCAGGTTTGTATAAGTAAATTTTATATAATTTATTTTTGTTATATGCATAGATATGCATGTCTCATTAGTTATGATTCGCAGGAATAGAATGAGCAGGCCTCTGTTTCTCCGCATAATGAATGCAGTAGAGGATCACGATGACTATTTTGTGCAGAAGAGAAATGCAGCTGGTTTAATTGGGTTCAGTTGTCACCAAAAGGTCACTGCAGCAATGCGTCAGTTGGCTTATGGTATAGCAGCAGATGCTTTGGATGAATATCTCGGTATTGCAGAAAGTACCGCTATAGAGAGCCTGAGAAGGTTTGTGAAAGCAGTTGTACAAGTTTTTGAACATGAATACTTAAGATCACCCAATGAGAACGATACAACTCGATTACTTGAACTTGGGGAGGACAGAGGTTTCCCCGGTATGTTAGGCTCCATAGATTGCATGCATTGGAAGTGGAAGAACTGCCCTACAGAATTGCACGGTATGTACCAAGGGCACGTGCACGAGCCTACAATAATTTTAGAAGCCGTTGCTTCAAAGGATCTCTGGATTTGGCACGCTTTTTTTGGTATGCCTGGGTCTCATAACGATATCAATGTACTTCATCGATCCCCGCTATTTGCAAAGCTAGCTGAAGGCAAGGCTCCTGAAGTGAACTATAGTATAAATGGACACGATTATATGATGGGATATTATCTTGCTGATGGCATATATCCTTCTTGGGCCACATTTGTGAAGACCATACCAGAACCACATGGCAACAAGAGGAAATATTTTGCCAAAGCACAGGAAGCAGTAATGAAGGATGTCGAACGAGCTTTTGGGGTTCTGCAAGCTCGATTTGCCATTGTTCGAGGGCCAGCTCGACATTGGGATGAAAAGACTCTGGGATACATCATGAAAGCTTGTGTTATCATGCATAACATGATTATTGAAGATGAGGGAGAAGTTGATTGGGAAGAACGGTTCCCAGAGGGAGGAGAAAATGTCAGAGTGTCCCACGATGAAATACCTGATCTTGATAATTTTATCCAGATGCACAAAAAAATAAGGGACGACGAAACTCACTATCAGCTACGTGAAGACCTAGTGGAGCACTTGTGGCAACATTATCCTGATAAATATTGAGGTTTTATTTATATGTTTGAATTCCATGTAATAAATAGTATACATATGTGAGGATTTGCAAAATCATTTTAATTTGTTCTTCATGTATTGAATAAATGGTGTACTGTTCGGTTTAAGAATAGTACAGGAGAATTAATAAAAGTGCACTTCCTTTATGCATTTTGTTGAATATGTCGGCTGGCAGTGATAAATGTGTCATGTGGTCTTCCTGTCAATCATGAAAAGCCACAGATGAGGTAGAGGCCCCAGAAGCTTTTCAATCATGCCAGGAAACAATCAAACATCAGGCTCTCAGTGAGAGACAATACAGATTACCACAGGTCAATAGCAACATCAGGCTCTCATAAAGTCTGATTCATTACACAGACTAACACCAAGGGCATGATAAGGGAAGTACCCATCTACTAACACCAACTTCGGACAAAACAAAAAGACACAATTCTGAATATAAATAGTTTGCATTGCAGACTTAGTAAACCTAGATAAATTTCTAACAAACCACTGATCTAAACTGCAGCTACGATTGCCATCTCTTTCCCTCCCATTCTCTGATCTGGTCACAATTTGTTCAGTTGCTTCTTCACATGTACGAAGGTCTCAGCGAGGTGGCTTCCCTGTTGATAGCAATAAGATGGAGTTCGAATTAACCATAATACATGTACAGAGTATAGAGCTGCCAAGTTTTCTAGTCTATTTTAATTAGTAATGTACAATATTTGAAGCTACCTATATGTTTGTACTGTAAACAATAATTGAAGCTAGCTAGTACTGCAAGTGATTTTTTTGACTGATCACTGTCGAAAATATGGATTCAGTAACCTATCATTCAAACTGAAATTGAATATGCACTCACATGGATCAGTTGATCATGCAGCAAGGTATTTGATCTTCGGCTCTTCGGTCTCTGTAGGTTCATTATCTTCATCAACATGATTGGTAGTATCATCATTTGTGGGTATAGCTTTTCCCAAACCATCTGTGCTTGCCTTCTGTTTTTTGGTGGCACAGGGTTTTTGGGATGTTATTTGCTTCATCTTATCATGCCACTTGGATTGTGACCTCAAGAGAGTCCAACAGTGCAGGAATTGGAAGGGCTTATCTTCCAACTCCTTAAATACAGCAATGGCCTGAGCAATCTGCACATGTCAAGTCAAGTGAATGTGGTTAGCAAACATCATATCTTTTATTTATAAACTAACATAAAAACACAAGCTACATAACTATGTAGTACCTTGTCGTGTATACTAACCCCGCTTTGTCTTCTACCCTCAATCTGGCTCAGATATCCACAAAACTTGTTGACATTCTCTTGTATAGTTTTCCAACGATGCATAAGTGAATTCTGGCTGCGATCTGGTGTGGATTTACTCGTTTTGTATAAGTGCTCGTATATTCTAGTCCAATATGCAGCACGAGTTTGATTTGTGCCTAGCACTGGATCCAAACTTACATGCAACCACGCCGACACAAGTATCTTATCTTCTTGTTCACTAAAATTCTTCGATCTTTTTTGATTTGGTCTAGCCACGGTAGTCCTCTCAATAGTGGGGAACTGCTGCGTGACAGGCTCACTACTCATGCCATTCTCATCAAGCTGGTTACTCATATCATCCTCCACAGGCATCGTACTCAAACTATCCCAATCTAAGGAATCGTTCCCCTCATTCATCAAATTAGTATAGAATCCTTCTTCTTCCATTATCAGTAGGACCTACAAGCAATTATCTCCATCATGTATGTTAAATGGAAGATGATTATTTTGTTTACATGTCTATCTAAGCAATGCAATGTTGTCTGTCTGCCTAAAAAAACAAGATGATAGATGCTATTCAGATTTTTCGTTTGATATAATATTTTAGATTTGTAGACAGCAGCCTTTCAGGTGGTGTGCTGACTTAAGTGCACATGCACCATGGCAGATAGCATGCCACACCTGAAGATCTAAAATATACTAACATTGTTCAAAAAAATTTCGACCTTAATTTTGACCTTAATCATGATAGAAGTAAAAGTGGGCACAAGCATATGACACACAACAGATGGAACTGGTCAATGGAAACATACCTCAGATTAGGCCTCAGTGCAGTGTGATACTGACTTTTATGAATACAACATTCAAAGCAAAGCAGTTCAGTGAAAAAAAAACTTAACTATAGCAGTTTAGGGAAAAAAAAAACTTATACTAGTTCAGGGGAAAAAACCTCAACTATACCAGTAAAGAAATAAAATCTTCAGTAGAATATGAAACTAGCATGTCCCATTTGTCTTCTTGAATAAAATAGTTTTAGTACAATTAAGTGGACTTCAATAGAACTTTAGGGTGAGAAGAATATGGTCTGTTAGCAACTTGTGAAGACTATTTTGGACATATTCATCTAAGACTTGTATCAACGAAAACAAAGAAATACACATAAGGACCTTGTCAGTACTAGGATATCAATGGGGATAATATCAGTGAGTCAACCTCAATTGAACACAAAGAGAGTTAGATCCATGGAGAGAAGCAGAAAATAAATGAGTTGTTACTCTGAAATTACCTCAAACAAATCCAGTAGCAACTCACGTCGTTGAGAGGCGAGGTGGACGAAGGGGCACAGACTGCCGACGGTCCCTGGATTGACAGTCGATGGTGACTTGGACGGAGGCCGCTAGCGCTCTGGACGGAGGGGCGGCAGCGACCTAGATGGGCTGCCGGCGACGCCCTGGACGGAGGGGTGGCAGCGACCTAGATGGGCTGCCGGCGGCGCCCTGGACGGAGGGCCGGCGACGCCTTGGAGAACCTGCGGCGTCCCGGACGGACGGACGGCTGGCGGCGCCCTGAACGGAGTTGGCGCGAGGAGAGGAAGCTGGCGCGAGGAGGGGAAGAAAGGCGCGGCTCCTCCCGGCGAACGAAGAGACGGTGGTTGAGGGAAAGCGCGGGCGAGGAAAAAAATTGGCGCCAGGAAAAGAAAAAACGGCGCGGGCAGGAACGATTGCTTCGATTGGGAGCGCTTCTAGTTGCCCAATATTTGGTTCAGGTTGGTCCTGGTTTTGGAGGTGGCTAAATTTTGGGACCATGTTTAGGAGTCTGTTGGAGAGCTGATTTTCACCAAATTCCTAAAATTTATGTTTTAGTAACCTGTTTAGCATTCTCTTGGAGATGCCCTAACAAATACATCTCCCAGTCGAAACCTACACCACCACCTCTGCATCTACATCTTCCTCATTCCCTTTAAATTGTATACTGGATATACCAACCATATTTAGATTGATCCGATGGGTTTTCTTGGGAAATCTGTGCTTGAAGGCACTCCCTTAATCGTCTGAGGAAATGCCGGTGATGAAATGAAATTTGGTTTGCCGCTATCATAGATGACATTGAAAAATTGTTAGCACAGATCACCAATTGAAAAGACATCTCTACCACTGGCCTGGCGAAAAAGAAAGGACATCTGTCTCCTAAGGTGATTGGCTTTTGGTACTTTATCATGCTTTAGATTATTTTGATATCTGATTTCTATTCATTTATCACCAATCTTAATATGCCAATGTATCACAAATTACAAATATGGTAACTTTCAATTTTCTGGTTAGTTTGCAGCATATCAAACTATCAAGAGGATCGAGGGATCGATCTACTCTCAGATTTGACCATCTACATCTGATTAAAAAGTTGTGCCAAATCTCTATGTCTTGTCTTTTAGACCGCCAACCACTGATTTTTTTTCTCCACAGTTCCTCTCATTCACTCATAGGTAAACGTGTTTCCTGAAAAATTATTTCCAGATTCATGTACTCAACACTTATTTCTAAAATCGTATATCAGCATATGCATGCAACACTACCCGTATTTTCTCTTTGTTTTATTGCCAAAAAATAATTTCTTAGTTGTTTAAAATATAGTACATGATGAAGAATAGTGTCTTATTTGCCTACCATCCATGGTTCTTCCAAATGGGATTTGTCTTAATTGGAATCATGTTGTTTCTATTGATAGCAATACAGTGTATATATAGATCAAACGTTGAAGCATGTTAGGCATGCAATTACGATAAATTTATACTCCCTCTATATTTTAATGTATGACGCCGTTGACTTTTTAACTAACGTTTGACCACTCGTCTTATTCAAAAATTTTATTCAAATATAAAAATATTTATGTCATGCTTAAAGAACATTTGATGATAAATCAAGTTACAATAAAATAAATTATAATTACATAAACTTTTTGAATAAGACGAAATGTCAAACGTTTGTCAAAAAGTCAACGGCGTCATACATTAAAATACGGAGGGAGTATTAATTAGTACAACTTGATTAACGCGCATATTGATCAGTGCTTGTTGCATGATACCCCAAGAAAACTTTAATTTTTGCCACTCACACACATTTCCTCCCTCCCTGCATGCGATGCTTACTGTTTAGGAACTGATCAGAAAGGAAGCAACTGCAAGCAGTCCTGCATCTCATCTTCTCAATAAAGCTCTCTTCATCAGATGATGCCAATGTTAAATACATCACCTTGCATGCTAGCTGCTAGTGAGGGGAGAGAGCCAAAAAAGCAAGTTGTGTTTTCTGTCTTGATTATGGACAAGGTGCATTTTGGCAAATATATAGGAGATATGGAATGATCATTTGAAAAATATGTTGGGAATGGAACTTTGGGGGAAACCAATACTATCTTTAGATATAAAAACATTATTATGTCGCCACAAGAGTAGGAAACAACCAAAACTGAACATGAAAATATAATTGATTATATGTATATATGAGATCTAGAGCTAGGTTGTCTAAAACAGTGAACTAATTAAAATAACTATGCATAAAGGATTGTGCCACAACATCAGTAACTTATGTATTAGTTTAATTTGGCAAACATTTGAATAAGAAAATGGCTGATGAATGGATGAATGCCAAAATTCAAAATATTGTGAAATCAATGTTTTTTATTTATATTTTTTGTGATGAACATTTGGCATGAGAATTATATTGGTTTTGATATTTGGTAGATATTTGTCTGTGGTGAGATGGTTAATAATGATCGTACGAAGACAGGAGTTTGTTTGATGCTTGTGGTCAAACCGGTCAGGGTGCGACGGTTAGACCGGTGTAGTGCACGCAGACGGCAGACTGACCGGCTAGCCCGGCAGTCTGGCCGGCTGGCTCCTATTAAGA